ACACAAGTATAAGATAAACTCAGAGAAATGCGAGTTTGGTCGCACTCGAATCTTGTACTTGGGTCATGAAGTATCCGCGGATGGGATTAGGCCCGGAGATGCTAAGGTGGCTAGCATACGTGACTGGCCACGACCCCAGTCAGTGACTGAGGTCAGATCATTCTTGGGAATGTGTGGTTATTACCGCAATTTCGTAAAGAATTATAGCACGATCACATCTCCCTTGACTGATCTAACTCGACTCGACACACCATGGGACTAGACCGACGAGTGTGAGGCAGCTTTCAAGCGTTTGAAGCATGCTCTCACGCATCATGAGGTTCTCATGGTACCCGACCTGCAAAGGCCATTCGTTGTAACCACTGACGCAAGTCAATATGGGATTGGCGAAGTGTTGGCTCAGCAGGAAGGGAAGAAGTTGAGACCGATCGAGTACATGAGCAAAAAGATGCCTTCAAAGAAGTTGGCAAAGTCCACCTACGAGAGGGAACTCTACGCTCTTTACAAGGCACTTGTCCACTGGAGGCACTACCTGTTAGGATGGTTCTTTTACTTGAGAACTGACCATCAGACACTCAAGTGGATTAAGACTCAACCAGTTCTCTCATATGCGCTCAAACGCTGGATTGAAGTCATAGATCAATATGATTTCAAGCTAGACTATTTGAAGGGAGAGTACAACAAGGTTGCAGATGCGTTGTCTAGGAGGGCAGACTACCTAGGTGTGCTGATTTCTGAGTTTGGTTTGTCTGAGAACGTGACTCGATCGTTGGATGAAGCCTACAAGGAAGATCCCATCACGATGGACATCATCAACAAACTACAGGCTAAAGACAAGGCCACCACTGGTGAGTTTGTGATGGTGGATGGGTTGCTCTTTCTTGAGAAGGCAGGGTTCAAGAGGTTAGTTGTTCCATCTAGGGAAGCTTTTGCGTAGTTTATTTTTAGGTGAGTGCCACGACGCAATGGGACACTTCGGTTATAAGAAGACTAGTGCTAACTTAATACAGCGATTTTGGTGGCCTAACATGCTTGACGATGTGAAGAAGTATGTGGAGACCTGTCAGGTCTGTCAGCGGGACAAGCCGCGGACTCAAGCTCCACTTGGGTTACTCAAGCCTTTACCCATTCCTGCTGGCCCAGGGCAGAGTATCTCCATGGATTTCATGGATACTCTGGTGACCAGCAAGAATGGCAAGAGGCACATCTTCGTCATAATGGATAGTTTCACTAAGTATGCTAGACTAATCGCCATGCCAGAGACTGCCAGGACTGAGCACGTCATCAAGTTGTTCATGGATAAATGGGTGCGTGATTTTGGATTGCCTAAGACTATCGTTAGTGATAGAGATGTCCATTTCACTAGCGAGATGTGGAAACAGACCGCTGAACAGATGGGCAGCCAGCTTCAGATGACTTCTGGGAATCATCCTGAAGCAAATGGGCAGCCTGAACAGATGAACCGAGTGGTGCAGCATCTGCTGAGGCATTACATCAAGCCCAGCCAGGATGACTGGGATGAGAAGTTGCCTCTCATCGCCAGTCTATACAACAATGCTGTACACAGCACCATCGGAGTCAGTCCTAATCAGCTACATCTCGGATGGAAGCCTAGATCCGCTCTAGACTTCCTCCTGCCTGAAAACCGAACTGCTGCAACTCCTGGAACCATTGAATTTGGTGTCCAGTATGAGAAACTGTTGCAGCGGACTGTCGAACATATTAAGAAATCTCAGGAGGTCATGATTGCTTCTGAGAACAAGCGTCGTCGACAGTCCACATTTCAGGTAGGGGAACGTGTTTGGGTCAAGGCTAGTGAACTGGGACAAGAGTTTGGCATCTCTAGGAAACTAATGCCTCAGTATTTCGGTCCTTAGGAAGTCCTGGATATCGTGGGGAATGATTTGGATGGTGCCTCATACGTTATTCGTATCCCTGGTCACTTACGCACTTACCCTGTTTTCCACGCTTCCAAACTTGCACCTTTCGCTGAGACAGCACAGTTCCCATCACGGAGATCTATGCTGCCCCCAACCATGGATGGTCACGTGGACGTCGATGACATCCTGGATCACAGAGATACGCCTGTTCCTAAGCCACCTGGCAGGGGAAGACCTCCCAAACCTGCGAGGGAATACATAGTACATTTCAGGCATCATACAGATCCGAAGGAAGATCGATGGATTTCAAGGGAGGAACTTGTCAAGACAGCTCCTCAGATCGTGGCCGATTATGAGAAAAGACTGAAGGGGAAGGCACCAGCATGAAGCATCTCAGCGGACTTTCGAAGCTAAGGGGGATGGAATGTGAGGAACAAGCCTTCAAGTGGCCCTTTCAGACATCACATTGTTCTGGGCCAAGGCCCCAGCAAGCCAAGTGCCCGCCCTAAGTGAAGGCGGGCCTGAATATTCGTCACAGGCCCAATTCGACATTTCCATATGTGGGTATTCAGGCTCTTGCAGCGCGTCAGTTGCTTGAATGAACGCGCGAGCCTCACTAAGCTGCGCCATACAGTTGACCCAGGCCACGAAAGTTGTGCCTGGGCACCTACACACAAAGCAGGGCCGATACATTGAGAAGCAGGCCGTCGGCCTCTGGAAAAGCAGTACAGCCGACGCACCTACCTGGGGGCCCTGCGGAGATGCAGCTAACAGCCCAAGTCCGGAGACTCAGGCCGTGCCCAACTGTAAAGGGCCCAGGCCCTCAACTGTAAGTCTCGGYCTGGGCACAGGGTCTGAGGCCCAACCKGAAGCTACTGGAAGCTTCCAGCCAGGCCACACGCAGCATGCWGCAGGCTGCCACTTCCATAAAGGAARTGAGGCAGCCCAGGCCAGGCATTCTGGCCAGCGTTAGCTATGCGGAAGTGCTGCTGYGCTCTCGCYTGATGCTGCGCTGCTGCCAAGGGCGCTGACGGAGCGCGAGAGGTGAGGTGGGGCGCTGCAGGGCAGCGGGGCGCAGGCAGCCATAGCCGGGCTGCTGGGCGCCAGGGGGGTACAGCGGATGATCGGGTGGTCTTCAGGGAGTGAGGCGCTGTGTGGGATAATTAGGATAGTATGGTAGAGTAGGCTGGGCGCTGTGCGCCAGACAGAGAGAGCGACTTTGGATACTGTGTTGGTGTGGCCTACGGGCTTGGACATTGGCTCAATACTTCATTGTATTGCTCTTTATGGATGGTTTTCTCGGTGCATTTGCACTCTCTACTTGGGATACTACTACTTGCTCAGCTGTGTGATTTCGCAGCTTGGTTTTATGTATATCGCTCACACTCATATTCCTTGCAATTATTTTAAATGGATTTAAAACGAATTTAATTAATTTCAACAAATTTAATTAATTTTAAAAGTTTTTAAAACGAATTTATTTATTTTAAACGAATTTTATTAGAATTTAAAATTTAAATGGATTTAAAAATAGGCTACCAGAGTTGCTCGGGGTCACTTGCCCGGCCGAGCCATACAAAAAAATAAAATATAAATAAAAACATACTTTTTAATTTTTATTCTAAATTTGGTGAAGAATTTCCATGTGACCCTGAGGCAAAAGTTGTACAGTTTAGAGACAGATAAATGTCTAGAAATTTGTAGTTAGCGGATGAAAAACTCTGCACTTAAAAAAAAAAAAAAAAAAAAAAAAGAGTTGTACAGTTTATTATTATTATTATTATTATTTTTAACTACACTGCGAGGCACAAGGCCTCAATAAGCCGTACTGGACCCCTATTTGCAACAGGTCGGCCGCCTCAAATGAAGGCAGGCTCGACAGACGACAAGAGGCCTATTTTGGACTACTTCGCAACTGGGGTAAAATTCAGGCAGTTGCGCAGCGCCAGTTGGTTGAAGGCGCCCAGGCCCTCACCGCCTTTATCAAATGTATCTAAGTCAGGCCCTGGGCGAGATACGCAACATGGACCCAACTCAGACTGTGGGCAGTTGGGCACGGGTAACTGTCGGTGGCCCTGGGTCTGATTCGTTTGGACTGAGGCTCAGCCTCCCTGGGCCTACCGGAAGCTTCTGGGCTGGGGCCCAGTACTGCGGCACAGCACGCAGCAGCAGGCCACTTCGATATAGGGAAGGGCCTGCCCACGCATTGGACATTCGGGCACTGGCTGCATTGTGCGCAAGCGCTGCTGCGCTATCGCTGGCCAGTGCTCACGCGCTCACGGGCGAGCTGGATGGGGCGCATGGTGGGGCGCATGGTGGTCCTTGGGTGCAACTGGCATCTGTGAGTTGGGGAACAAGGTTGTGAGTGATACGTGAAACATACCTGGTGCTTGAGGCGTGAGGCATTGGCCAAGATCTGCTCGTACTTGGGAAGCTGTTGACGTCATCAGCAGCATTGTAGTCTAGGCTAGATAGGATCTGCCATTTGTAGTATGGGTGCCGAGCACCAGATAGGATATCAACATTGGTTCTTCGTTGATGATGATGAGACTATTCCAGCATTGTCAATTATGAGCTTTTGGTGTGCTCTTATTTGGTGAAACTCGTGATGCAATTCTGCTATTGGTTTGAGGTCACGACTATTTGGTCTCATGTGTATGATGCTGTTTGATTTCTGAAGTTCGTTATTGCTCATCTTCCTTGCAATTTGGTATCGGAGTTGTGGTTCGGTGCGCTAATCTGGCGGTTGTCTTCTGGCTAATGTGGTACATGCACGCGGTGTGTGTGGTGAGCGACCGTGCCGTGGGATGTGTGTAGTGAGGAGGGCGAAGATAAGCAGGCGACCCAGGTGGAGAGGGGATCGTCGGGAAGGCTAAGCGGTGATTATTGGGTGTTCGCAGTGTGATGAGAACTATCTGGTGTATAATTGATGCTGAGGTGGAACGGTGGTACAATGCTGGTTGTGCCGAAGCAGCGATTGGTCATCACAACCAACATCGGGTAATCTGGTGAGAATATCTATGGTTGGGGGCAGCTATTTTGAGGTACGTTGCACCTAACCTTATCTACCCTCTTCGACACTTCTTACCGTGAGGATGTGTGTTCTGTCTTGAGAATCCTCTCATGTGAGGAGTCGTGTGCGCTCAACCTTGAGAGTCGTCCATCTTCACGTGGAGCATCTGGAAGGAGAGGGCGGTGCTATCTGAAGGGCCCTGGACGAAGCACTGGGTCACGGTCACCATGCCAACCCACCAGGAGTAGAGCACGCATGCTTTGCTGCTTTGTCCTTTGTCTGCTCGCTGCGCTGTAGAGGGGTTCTGAAGGGCAGGCCAGCCCTATGAGACAGACGAGACCAGGCGTCTATAAATAAGCACCGGCGGGGTACCTTCCATTGGCTGTGATCATCGTCCTGTCTGCGACGTTAAAGAATTCCTGAGGACTTCAGGGGCCGTCCATATAAATTCCTCCTGATCAGCCAATCGGTCGGTGTACGGCTCGCTGCACGCGAGGACAAAGACTGTGCAGGGCTGGCCAGCTCAGCAGGACTCGAGGCACAAGGGTGGGCCGTGTGCACACCTTTAGACACACACGCTGCCGGGATTGCTGAGGGACCTTGGCTAGAAGAAACATTAAGGAAGAACTGAGGGAGAGGTAGATTCCAATAAGTTTGGGCAAGATTCCACTCTGCAAACAGACCCAACAAATGATTCTATTTTTTATTTTGATTAGTTAGATGTACAACCATTAACATCTAACAGACAACATAGTTTAGAACTGTTTTCTGTTCATTGTGTTTCTGTTTGCGAACTGTTTAGATGTACAATCCGGAACTGTTTTCTGTTCATTGTGTTTCTGTTTTCTGACAGACAACAAGTGAAAGTAGTTTCGTTTGTAGGAACCTGAACTTACCTGTTGGACCCAAATGTACATACACTCTGACGCAGCCACCGATTACCTAGTTTAATTATTACAAGTGGACCCGCCGCGGGCGGAGAGCAGAGATTGTGAGAAATGAGGAGAGGGGGAAGGCGATAGAAGATGTAAAGATGCAACGTTTCATGTGGACGCCAAAAAAGGAAGATTTTGTTCCTCGATTATCCGTTTTCCCTGTTGTACCAATTGTTTGTATTCAAAGAGGAGGCGAATAAAATTGCTGTCTGTTTGAGATCAGAGCAAGGAAAATCATGATGCAAGTTCTTGTAGAGGTTTCTTCCCATTTCATTCCTTGGCCGTGTGCTCTCCGTGCTGCACGAACAGTCCACATCGAAAGAGGAGTTTGTTGGTGTTGTCCATTGTCGGCGAGCTTCAGCTAGAGCGGCCGGAGGAGTCTTGAGCTTGGAGAAGTCGCAGAGCTTTGCGAATGATATCAATCCTGTAGATAGGGAAAGGAGGAAATTGGGACTGCATTCCACGATGATAGACAGCAATGAGATCACTGAGGTATTACCGCCGGGGTAAAAAAAAAACCCGAAAAGAACTGATTTCAGACGCTGCGCAAGTATGTGAGTGTGTGTGCTTATGTGAGTGTGTGTGCTTATGTGCGTGTGTGTGTGAGTGTGTTTCTGTACGTGTACGTGTGACCGGTGGGGGTATGCATGTGTGTGTGTATGTGTGTGTGCATGTATAATTGGTCGTCGCCCCCATCCCAATCCCCCTCCGAGTTATGTCTCCCCTGTCCCCTATCCCGACATCCCTGCCTCCATCCCCCCCCATCTCCAATTCGTGGCCGACCCCGACCTCCGAATCACACCCATCCTCCATCCCGATTTGGATGCCGGTTTCCATATCCGGATCTCCTCAGCCGACCCCCTCCATCCCAATCTGGATGCCGATTTCCGTATCCGGATCTCCTCGGCCGACCCCCTCCATCCCGATCTGGATGACGGTTTCCCCACGTCCCGACCTTGTCGCTCCCGTCCCCCATCTCGACCTCGATGCCGACCCCCCTCCCTTCCCCTTCATCCCGATGTCGTCGCTTCTCGCACCCCTTTTCCGTATCCGGATCTCCTCGCCCCCATCCCGATTTCCCTCTAAGTTCGCCCCCATCGCCCCATCCCGAATTTGTGGCCTACCCCGACCTCCGGACCGCCCCCATCCCGATCTGGATGCCGGTTTCCGTATCCGGATCTCCTTGGCCGAGCCCCTCCATCCCGATCTGGATGCCGGTTTCCCCACGTCCCGACCTTGTCGCCCCCATCCCCCATCTCGACCTCGATGCCGACCCCCCCCCGCTTCCCCTTCATCCCGACGTTGTCGCTTCTCGCACCCCTTTTCCCTATCCGGATCTCCTCGCCCCCATCCCGATTTCCCTCCAAGTTCGCCCCCATCGCCCCATCCCAAATTCGTGGCCTACCCCGACCTCCGGACCGCCCCCATCCTCCATCCCGACCTGGATGTCAATTTCCCCACATCCGGAGCTCGTCGCCCCAATCCCCGATGGCCGACGCCGACCTCCGGATCTCCCCCTCCTCATCACGATGTCATCCGGACCTCTTCCTCGTCATTCCCTTATCGTCGCTTTGCCCCCATCCCGACCCCTCCCCTTCCCCCATCCCGACTTTGATCCCGATGTCGTCACTCCGGATCTCGCCGTCCCCATCCCGATCCCCCTCGCAGTTTCCCCTCCCCTATCTCCTATCCCGACTTCCTCGCCCCACATGTCGACCTCGTTGCCCCCATCCCCCATCTCGACCTCGATACCGAATTCCTCCTTCCCTATCCCGACCGATTTCCCTCTAAGTTCGCCCCCATCGCCCCATCCCGAATTTGTGGCCTACCCCGACCTACGGACCGCCCCCATCCCGATCTGGATGCCGGTTTCCGTATCCGGATCTCCTCGGCCGAGCCCCTCCATCCCGGTCTGGATGCCGGTTTCCCCACGTCCCGACCTTGTCGCCCCCATCCCCCATCTCGACCTCGATGCCACCCCCACCCCCTTCCCCTTCATCCCGATGTCGTCGCTTCTC